CTTTTTGTTCATTACAACTTTTTCGTTAAATCCAATGGTTTCAGAGTTATTTGCAAGAAACTGTCCGAAAACAAGCACTTTTTCAGTAAAAAATCAACATTTTCGATGACGAATTACTCGGAAAATATTGGATTATCCAAAAAACTTTATATAACATTTGTTACTTAAAATTGACTCCTCTATCGATTCCTGTGGTTATTTTGGGCGTAAAAATTTCCACCCCCAAGAAGGGGTGGGAACCACCCCCAGGGCAAAAGCACACTTCGGCACTATATAAGTTTTGTTCCTTGAGGCATTCCCCACATTCAGTCAAAATTTCACATCAATCGGTTCAGTTATAAATAATTTGGAGGTAAAAACCCTGAGTAACTGGACTACTAGGACGCTTCATTAAAAATATTTGTGAATCGCCCTGTATTACCAGTATTTTTCGTATTTTTATGTATTTCTTTTAGCTATTAAGTACTACAATTTTAATTATTATTCAAAAATGTGATAAACATAATAGTTTCCTCAAATCACTCTATCACTTTATTTTACTGGAAATAATAACGTCATTCTTATATCAGTTTTAAGTTATCGACAAACTTCGTCTTTTTAAAATACATGTGAAGTTGATAAGAAATAATTTGTAAATAACGTTTTTTTTAAGGGCTTTTTATAACATTGTATTAGAAATATCTCAGTTGCTATCCGTAAAACAAGATACTATTTGGTGGAAAGTTTTACAGGATTTTTCAAACTTGATAATTTTATAGTTCTAGAATGAAAAAAAAATATATTGTAAAAGAATATCGTACTATTGTGGTTTTTCAAATTAGTCGTATTTTCTATATAAATTGTAGTCAACAGTCCTTTTTAATATACAGGGTGTCCGCAAATTTCATCGTTTGGCTGCATATTCACGACGATAAATAAATATGATAATATACGAAAAAAAGTTAAATAAAAAATTTTTGGTTTTTTAGTTACAGGCCTTCAAAGATGTCAAAATTCGTCGGTAAAAAATAATTTTTGAAATAAATTATTATCTTCTGCGAAGCCATTCACCAACTAGCGGCAATAGGATCTAAGTTCTTGAGCAGGAGTTAAATGAAATGGCCGAAAAAGTTGCTGTTTTAAAGTTTTGTGAACATTAGTTTTACATACATTTAATTGTCTTAATACAATTTCTTTAATCGAAACGAACGTAGAATGGTGAGGTGATCTTTCACTGTACAATAGTGCAGCAGCTCGACAGTTTATCCTGCACCCTCCTAATACTAAATGCATGTCGGCAAGCTCATTGAATGAATATTCCAAATAACTAGCAAAATCAATTCATATTAAAATAAAACTAGAATAACAATACGCTGTCACTTATGTTAAAGCAAATGACAATAATGACATTACCTGATAGCCACAGCAATTAACATTTTGGTTTCATCGCCTACTGAACTCAAAGTTTTAAATCCGCAAACCAAAACATACAGACCTCGAAATAATTAATGCCATTTTTCTCAAGAATGGTTTTCTGTAGGCGATTTTCTCATGAGACATTATTTTTTTCAATGAAATGGCCTTTTCAATGTTGCTGCCCTTTTAAAAAAAAATACGTCTTATATATAAGCTTTGACGGCTAAAAGGGGAGGTAACAAAGGAGAAAATTACCACCCAGCATATCGATTTGTCTAATGCTGTAAAAAATAAGACGCCATAATAGTCCAAATAAATGTGCCAAATTTTAACGCCGTCGGTAAAAGGGTTGTCGTTGTCGGTGAAATTTGCGGACACCCTGTATTGTTTCCATATAATGTGCTGTTTTCAAATTTCCGAATTTACCGAAAATTTTCTTTTTGGCGCCATTTTTCCAAAATAATTACTTTTCCTCAACAAAACATCGAAAATACAGCAACACAATTTAAAATAGTCTTAAAATTCTTTTAAAATTTTCCAGCTAACACCTTTTCTTGTTACTTAATTGTTGAACCAATAAGCCCTACTTACCTCTTACCAAACAGTTGGAATGACTCGGAAAAAGGCTCAACTGACCGTAGGTCAACACGGCATCGTTAAAAAATATTGCTGCGCAATAATTTACAAGTAATTTCCCAAAAACGTTTCGGGTTTCATGGAGAATCGCATACACCAAAATTGTCAAAACTAGAAATATACACGAGAGAATTTTCGCCCATACAGTATACTCAAATTTCTTGGCAGCAGGCTCCTCTGGGAAACACATAAAAAATAGGTATCCATCAAAGGTCGGTGTACGGGTATGCTCTATACAGTAGGAGTTCATGTCGCTGACATTGAAAGGAATAAAAGATTTAGTCTTCTTTTGCCAAAATGTCAATATTCCCTTGTCGTCTAGATGAAAAGTGTACTGTCCTTCCCTCATTATGAATATTGAAGGGCATATTCGGTTTGATATGACGGCGAAGGGCTCTGGAATACATTATCAGATAAGAAAATTATATACATCAGGGTTACAACTTTTTAATTGTAAAATAAATAATACAGGTGTTAAATGAGCAAAAACTGTAACTTTTGAAATAAGAAAGATACCTGTATAGGGTAATTAAAAAATTGTTTCTATTCATCAAAACAAGTATAGTTTTACCTACTGAATAGCAAATCTTATTGAACTTATAGGTTAAAGATTAATAACTGTTATGCAAATAACGGCGCTAAGGCATAACATACTATACATATATGTAGATGTAATTCATTACATATTCATTCATTGAATGGGCACTTAAACAAAAACAGAATACCACATTAAATGTTCTCATTATCTCCTACTAAATTCTTAGTCATACCAGAAGTAATAACACGAAAATTGAAGGAACATTCCAGACGTAAAAATATTCTAAATAGGTCCATACAGGGTGTGCGGAAGCAAATGGGCCATACCTCAACGGTAGCTTGCTTGAGTAAAAATAATCCGACTCTGTGCTGTTTTGATTTCTTAAACAATTACCGCTCTTAAAAACAACTTTTAAGATATCTATCCAAAGTCACTTTTTAAGATATTCCAATTAAATTTAATTTTGAAGAGTTTCTTAAACAAAGAAGTCGCTAAGGACGCCTTCACCAGAGTTGAAATATTTTTTTCTAGGTATAGATTTTTGAGAAGAGACAGAAGTTTTTTGAAACGCAAATTTATTTATTTAAAAAATGTTATTTATTTCTTCCTCACTTGTGTCATATCCCTAAAATATACCGGTCTAGAAAAAAATTATTTCAAATTTTTTACTGCAGTCAACGGTTGCAGACAAATTTTATCAAAAGAAATAAATAGATAATTCTCAATAATAGCTTAGCAACGTCAAATTATTATTTATTAAGACACCGTATTTCCTAAGAAATAATATGTATAATTGGGAAATAAAGATATAAAAAAATTAATAGTGTCAGAAATAAAATTAGGGCTAAATCTGTACAAGGAAACGGAAGTAATAACAAATAAACATAAATAATTGAAAATGTATAAATTAAACATATATGTGAACATTAAATAATATTCAAATTAATCAAAAAGAGAACAGAAGTCTTAGAAGGTCAAATTCATCATCGGCCAAAGTATTATCTTTCTCTCTCTATCACTCGTCTATACTGTCGCCGCAAGCGTGCTTTTTCCTGTGATATATGTTCTAAGGTTAAACTTAACATTCAATGTTTTCCGATATTCTTTAAATTCATGCTCTTGTTACAGTATTAAACTATGTTTATANTCGTATTTTTATGTATTTCTTTTAGCTATTAAGTACTACAATTTTAATTATTATTCAAAAATATGATAAACATATAGTTTCCTCAAATCACTATATAAACTTTATTACACTGGAAATAATAACGTCATTCTTAAGTTATCGACAAACTTCGTCTTTTTAAAATACATGTGAAGTTGATAAGAAATAATTTGTAAATAACGTTTTTTTTAAGGGCTTTTTATAACATTGTATTAGAAATATCTCAGTTGCTATCCGTAAAACAAGATACTATTTGGTGGAAAGTTTTACAGGATTTTTCAAACTTGATAATTTTATAGATCTAGAATGAAAAAATATATATTGTAAAAGAATATCGTACTATTGTGTTTTTTCAAATTAGTCGTATTTTCTATATAAATTGTAGTCAACAGTCCTTTTTAATATACAGGGTGTTCGCAAATTTCATCGTTTGGCTGTAAATTCACGACCATAAATAACTATGATAATATACGAAAAAAGTTAAATAAAAAATTTTTGGTTTTTTAGTTACAGGCCTTCAAAGATGTCAAAATTCGTCGGTAAAAAATAATTTTTGAAGTAAATTATTATTTTCTGCGAAGCCATTTACCAACTAGCGGCAATAGGATCTAAGTTCTTGAGCAGGAGTTAAATGAAATGGCCGAAGAAGTTACTGTTTTAAAGTTTTGTGAACATTAGTTTTACATACATTTAATTGTCTTAATACAATTTTTTTAATCGAAACGAACGTAGAATGGTGAGGTGATTCGGGAATCTTTCACTGTACAATAGTGCAGCAGCTCGACAGTTTATTCTGCACCCTCCAATACTAAATGCATGTCGGCAAGCTCATTGAATGAATATTCTAAATAACTTGCAAAATCAATTAATATTAAAATAATACTAGAATAACAATACGCTGTCACTTATGTTAGAGCAAATGACAATAATGACATTACCTGATAGCCACAGCAATTAACATTTTGGTTACTGAACTCAAAGTTTTAAATCCGCAAACCAAAACATACAGATCTCGAAATAATTAATGCCATTTTTCTCAAGAATAGTTTTCTGTAGGCGATTTTCTCATGAGACATTATTTTTTTTTAATGAAACGGCCTTTTCAATGTTGCTGCCCTTTTAAAAAAAAATACGACTTATATATAAGCTTTGACGGCTAAAAGAGGAGGTAACAAAGGAGAAAATTACCACCCAGTATATCGATTTGTCTAAAGCTGTAAGAAATAATACGCCATAATAGTCCAAATAAATGTGCCAAATTTTAACGCCGTCGGTAAAAGGGTTGTCGTTATCGGTGAAATCTGCGGACACCCTGTATTGTTTAAATATACTGTGCTGTTTTCAAATTTCCGAATTTACCGAAAATTTTCTTTTTGGCGCCATTTTTCCAAAATAATTACTTTTCCTCAACAAAACATCGAAAATACAGCAACACAATTTAAAATAGTCTTAAAATTCTTTTAAAATTTTCCAGCTAACACCTTTTCTTGTTACTTAATTGTTGAACCAATAAGCCCTACTTACCTCTTACCAAACAGTTGGAATGACTCGGAAAAAGGCTCAACTGACCGTAGGTCAACACGGCATCGTTAAAAAATATTGCTGCGCAATAATTTACAAGTAATTTCCCAAAAACGTTTCGGGTTTCATGGAGAATCGCATACACCAAAATTGTCAAAACTAGAAATATACACGAGAGAATTTTCGCCCATACAGTATACTCAAATTTCTTGGCAGCAGGCTCCTCTGGGAAACACATAAAAAATAGGTATCCATCAAAGGTCGGTGTACGGGTATGCTCTATACAGTAGGAGTTCATGTCGCTGACATTGAAAGGAATAAAAGATTTAGTCTTCTTTTGCCAAAATGTCAATATTCCCTTGTCGTCTAGATGAAAAGTGTACTGTCCTTCCCTCATTATGAATATTGAAGGGCATATTCGGTTTGATATGACGGCGAAGGGCTCTGGAATACATTATCAGATAAGAAAATTATATACATCAGGGTTACAACTTTTTAATTGTAAAATAAATAATACAGGTGTTAAATGAGCAAAAACTGTAACTTTTGAAATAAGAAAGATACCTGTATAGGGTAATTAAAAAATTGTTTCTATTCATCAAAACAAGTATAGTTTTACCTACTGAATAGCAAATCTTATTGAACTTATAGGTTAAAGATTAATAACTGTTATGCAAATAACGGCGCTAAGGCATAACATACTATACATATATGTAGATGTAATTCATTACATATTCATTCATTGAATGGGCACTTAAACAAAAACAGAATACCACATTAAATGTTCTCATTATCTCCTACTAAATTCTTAGTCATACCAGAAGTAATAACACGAAAATTGAAGGAACATTCCAGACGTAAAAATATTCTAAATAGGTCCATACAGGGTGTGCGGAAGCAAATGGGCCATACCTCAACGGTAGCTTGCTTGAGAAAAAATAATCCGACTTTGTACTGTTTTGATTTCTTAAACAATTACCGCTCTTAAAAACAACTTTTAAGATATCTATCCAAAGTCACTTTTTAAGATATTCCAATTAAATTTAATTTTGAAGAGTTTCTTAAACATGAAGTCGCTAAGAACGCCTTCACCAGAGTTGAAATATTTTTTTCTTGGTATAGATTTTTGAGAAGAGACAGAAGACGCAAATTTATTTATTTAAAAAATGTTATTTATTTCTTCCTCACTTGTTTCATATCCCTAAAATATACCGGTCTAGAAAAAAATTATTTCAAATTTTTTACTGCAGTCAACGTTTGCAGACAATTTTTTTCAAAAGAAATAAATAGATAATTCTCAATAATAGCTTAGGGACGTTAAATTATTATTTATTAAGACACCGTATTTCCTAAGAAATAATATGTATAATTGGGAAATAAAGATATAAAAAAATTAATAGTGTCAGAAATAAAATTAGGGCTAAATCTGTACAAGGAAACGGAAGTAATAACAAATAAACATAAATAATTGAAAATGTATAAATTAAACATATATGTGAACATTAAATAATATTCAAATTAATCAAAAAGAGAACAGAAGTCTTAGAAGGTCAAATTCATCATCGGCCAAAGTATTATCTTTCTCTCTCTATCACTCGTCTATACTGTCGCCGCAAGCGTGCTTTTTCCTGTGATATATGTTCTAAGGTTAAACTTAACATTCCGTTATTCTTTAAATTCATGCTCTTGTTACAGTATTAAACTATGTTTATATACTCTTTTACATTTTTTGTCATTATTTTATATTAGCCTTGTTAATATTTATCTTTGTGTTGTGTATGCACTATTTTTAATAATTTATTTATTTTGGAAAACTTTTATTATGTTATAAAATATAAAGAAAATATAATTACTACTGTGCAATTTTAATAAATTGTTTGTTCCAGTAAGATACTAGAAGTGCTGAAATCTTCTTGGAGTATCCACAGTAACAAAGTCCAAGCAGTTTTTAATTTGCTGAAACAAACTGAAACATTAAAAAAATCATAGATACAAATAGAAAAACTAGCATTTCGAACTCGTGATGATTTTTTCTCTTTTGATCTTTTCTTTTGTTCTTAAAGATACTCATCTCCAAATCAATATTTCTATAAATCCTTTTTGCTTAGTTTAACTGAGGAAGCTCTCGTAAAATGTGCGCACTATCTCTGAAAACACCCTGTATATTTTTTTAAAGTGGACTTCATGATAATACTGATACGTCATAATGATAGTTTTATTAACTGTTTAAACAAGCAGGTCTTATTCAAATTGTGAATGTATTCCATTTAGATCAAATTTAGCTATACTCGCACTTACATATTCCCTTGTGCAAACAACAAAAAATCCTTCCCAATACGCCTACGTAATGAAATGGAAATTAATACAATTTTACGCAGTATGCTTTGTCATATTCATAAATGGTAAACATGAATTTATATTCCAGTTAAAACACCCTGTTGTGCTGAAAGGGGAAAAAATTCGAAGGTGCAGCAAAAATATATGTCCATATACAAGGTCGGAAAGTCCCCATGGTTCATCGGCCGTTACGTGAGAGCGATAAAGAAAGTCATAGAAATCCGTGCGATAGAGAAAGATGGCTATAATGAAAACGTCTAATAGTCACCGCCTATTTCGCCTTTCCACAAATAAGATCCACTTCTTATTTGTGGAAGGGATTTTCCGTCCCTGTATATTTGTACATGGTGTCCCACTAAGGTCGGCGAGGTACGATATTGGAGAAAGTATGTGCCCTAGAGCTTCTGGAATTTTTTTTTTACAGAAGAGGTGGTGGAAGCCAGAAAAATGCATTTTTTTTAATTGGCTTTAAATTCAGTGACGTCAAAAGCATACATACTTACAGGTTAACATTCGTGAAAGGCCTTTTCTTTACTTTGACCTTAAAATGATCTTGATGTGGTAGGTACATATACAGGGTGTCCCGTAAAGTATGTTACAAACTTTGGGTGGTGATAGTACATAAAAAAATATGACTAAAAACTCTAATAAACATAACCTCTTAAACGCACCATTTTGAAGTTACAGACCTTCAAAGGTGCAACTATAAAAGTAGTTTTTATGACGTAACTCTTTGTTGGAAAAAGAAAACTTAATGAAATTTTCAGGGGCTAATCAGCTTTAGGAAATCAATAAATAATGCGGATATGAATAAAATCGAGAAAGCAGAAGGGTGTTTTTTTATCACCCTGTATCCTATTTTTTGCCAAAAAAAATTTTTCTGCAAAGATACAGCAAATATCATAAGATTTTTAGAAAGACCATTGAATTTAGAAATTTTTTTGTCTCTTGCATTTTTTATGTAAAATGATTAGTTTTCTAATAAATTTACAAAATGCAAAGGGAGTTTACTCACCGCTAGGTGTTAAATTTGACNAATGCAAGAGACAAAAAAATTTCTAAATTCAATGGTCTTTCTAAAAATCTGATATTTGCTGTATATTTGCAGAAAAACTTTTTTTGGCCAAAAATAGGATACAGGGTGATAAAAAAACACCCTTCCGCTTTCTCAATTTTATTAATATCCACATTATTTATTGGCTTCCTAAAGCTGACTAGTCCCTGAAAATTTCATTATGTTTTCTTTTTCCAACAAAGAGTTACGTCACAAAAACTACTTTTGTAGTTGCACCTTTTAAGGCCTATAACTTCAAAACGGTGCGTTTAAGAGGTTATGTTTATTAGAGTTTTTAGTCATATTTTTTTATGTACTATCACCACCCAAAGTTTGTAACATACTTTACGGGACACCCTGTATATAGAATATTGGAACACCTTATAACTGATAAAGGCATTAACAGTATTGGTCGACGATACCAGATGGCAATTGTTTCTTAATATTATACAAATTAATATTAAGTTTGATATTTGTTACACTTTTTAAAAATTTATTCTAGTGTAAAATTGTTTTAATAAAAACGTCTTTAATTTGAATAACAGGGATAACGATTACTATGGAAAAAAATATAAGATATTCTGAGAGAATCGCTAACTTTTACAATACCTCGTATAAAAGCATGTCAATTTCTGAAGTATGTGCATAGTATGCCATTTTGAAGCTGCTGTCAATACAAATAAATAAAGAATGGCGTCTGTTGGATAATTTCGTAATACACCTTTCAACTTCTCAATCTTTGGATGTTCCGCTTCGACTGAACAATAGCATATAATATCAATAACTACTACATTCCATCATGCTTTATAAGAACCATCTCACGTCCTAAATTAAAATTTAAATTTATTTTGTTAAAAAAATAGAGCTAACCTGTATGAATGTTTATTGAATAGATTCTTAAGTAAGTAATACAATATTCAAGACCCGTTTCAGAGCAGTACACTGATAAAAATTGTAGAAATTTACATAGCCTTTTTACATATTCGTAATAGTTTTTATACAAAAAATGTAAATGAATTGAACATACATGATATATTGTGTAAACACGTTTCAGTGTATATTTTCTGTTTGCGATGTATTCTTCTTCTTCATACGTTGTATTTTAACATTTTTAAATGTATTAGGTATTCCTAATTTATTATGTCTTTTAAATAATCTTCATCTTTGATGTAAATATGCAAATAAAAGTGTGAATTTACATCTGATTTGGCTCAATCAATGAGAGTAATCATGTGATCATCCGGTATGGTGTTAGCCCGCGAGTGTATAGAACTGTGCTAATTGTTCAGTAGGCATGTTTAAATTCATTTGTAGCGTATTACTACAGCACAGTGTTTTAACCTCAATATAATGTTATAAATAAATATTAAAGTAACATATACATATAGTATATATTTATTTAAAGTTGATGAGTATGAAGAACATCATCAATGATAACCATTCTGAACTTTCCCTAACCTTTATACACAAACACATGTTACTTATTATTTTAGTTACACTATATTTTGTTTTTTGTTTAATGTTCTCAAGATGTGGCCACTACTGTCGAAATGGTTCAAATATTCCACCCCAAAAAACACCTACATGAAGAATGTTTTTCCTTTATACTTAATTATTTTAAATTAGAAGTGAATTTTATGGAAGAATATGTAGGTATTTCTTTTGTCTCAGATAAATACATATTGTTTATTTAATTAGTCCTCATAATTAAAGAGATGTAAGAATAATTATACTGTTTTCGAGGGTAGTATGTGACAGCTTATTTTTAAATTTAAACATTGAAGGATACAGATGTCACTAAAAAAAAGGTGTATAAAATTAAATATGTACTTTGTCTTTTAAATAAGTAGAGAGGTTACCAAGTATTTCTTTGTACTATTATGTTAAGAAAGCTGTAAATATTACAGAATAATAATGTCTAGATTTTTTTTTCTTAAGAATACTATGTAGTTTTCCTATTTCTTAGTAAAAGTACACCTTAGGTTGTGAAATTACATATATCGATAATGTAAATTTACATTTTGGGGAATTACACAAAAAATGTAAAATTACATGTTCAATATAACTTTACTTGATGATGTAATTTTACATTAGGTACTCAAAATAACCAATAACCTATAGTGTGTAAATTTACATAAAACTTTTATTAGTGTAACATTATCTTAATATAAACAAGATTTTAAAAGTACCTACTTCAATATGTCATTTATATCATCAGACAGGTACGAATATAAATGCTTCTGGAATATGTAAATATTGTCGTCAATTCGTTTTTAACATGCAACAAGGGATTTAAAAGATTATTCATTGATATATTCTCTTAGGTATCAAAAGCGTAAAAATATTTAGGTCAGTGTTTCCCCAAATGTTATTTTGTCCTAAAATTACGCTTGACGTTGGAAACACCGCATTAAATTCAAAATAAATAAGAGCTGTGATAACTAACGTGGCGCTGAAAGAGTTTTAATCACAAAAGATCGAGTGGTAAAAACAGCAAAATGTAAAACTCGTGGGTCTTTGACATTATTAACATATTTCCTTATGTATTTTAAATAAATTTATGTTATGATTGCAATCGTAGTGACGCCTATTTTCTTCAAAAGAAATTTATACGCAAAAATGTGGCTTTATATCCAATATATCATACACAAGTAATCGTGAGCAATAAAAAAAAGAATGATTTCGATTTTGATTTAATTGCTTTTAACATATCACCACTTCACTTGCTTTTAAGATCATGAGTGAATACTGATTTATTCCTACTTTTATGTAAACAGACAGCTTTAACTCTACATTTCTAATTTTTCACATTACGTTGCTGTTGAAGATTTTTATAAATACATGTATGTATATCTTCTAAAGCTGTTTATTTACTGAGCGGTTGTCTTGTTAACATACGCCAGAGGTGCATGGTTCTTACTGCATTAATTTATATCCGCTAATCGTATCAATACCTATGTTTAAAATTAAGTTACACCCACCAGTACAATTTCCAATCCCAAAACTTGTAGAAAAGCCTACGTCCTCAAAGATTCATAAAATATTTATATACGAAAAATTTGGGAATGTTCGTGTTTTGTGTATCGTTTACGCGTATATGGAAATTTGAAATGCATATTTAAATTTGTTAAATAAACTTAATAATCTTTTTAACCGACAAAGAAAAGAAACATTTTACAGAATTGAATTGTACCTATTTTTAATTTAAAACATAATTAGTTCATCTGTAATTTAAAAGAAAACAATTCTATGTGATTTTCATACACTTTGTTTGGTTTGTTTTTCAAAAATTCTGTCATAACACCAGGTGTCTCGTAAAAATGTCGCAATTTTTTTTATTAATACAATTATATGTACAGGTATAACAGTCGTTATACAAATTAATTCCAAAAACATAACAGCTCACATACCAATAATAATTATGACTTAAAAACCTTTAAAATTTTGCATACAATTTTTTTATGTACTTCCATATTGTATCCGTAAATTTTTTGGAAAAATTAAATTAGGTGTCATATAATGCTAGGTTGAGGAAAGAAGCTTATATCATATTAAAAAAATATATACTGTTCCAGATAAAAAAGTGACAATCGCTATAATTAAGAAGCCGCTTTCAATAAACGTCGATTTTTTAAATTTATTGTTAGCGGCCAGGCCCAGACCACACACCCGGGATAAAGCACTTAAGAAGATAGTTTTTTTACTACTGTATTCCTACAATGTATATATTTCTAAAAATAAGTAAACATACCTTCAGCTTTGTCTACATTCAGAAAAGTAGACAAATTTAATCCATGCGTGTAAGTATCAAAACACTGGGATCGGTTTATGAAACTTTGACCATCAGGGCAGCATTTTTTAATACATCTGATATTTTCGCAAACTTCTAAATCCTTCTTGCATTGTCTGTAAACAAATGACCCTTTTTCGTTCCTGTCGAAACAATAGGATTCTGGAGAAGCAGAATGTTTTAAGTCATGGTACTTTTGGGTTATATCAGTCAACTCTTGGTCTACTATAACTTTACAACCGGGCAATCCAATTTTGACGAAAGGCCCTTCCATGAAATTGAAGTCAGCTTCTGACTCTTCACAAGAATGTAAAACAGAATTGTAAGTGTAATTTAAAGGGCAACATTTGGAAAAAATATTTTCGTTCATAGGCCCCTTCTCCACAACTTTTCCACCGGTAACCTTGAAGGTAGAAAAATCCGTTTTGGTATCCACACATTCACCATCAAAACTGTCTTTTAGATAATCGGTTTCATTTGTTAAAACGTACATTCGTCTTAATTTATCTTCTACACAGGTATGAGAAGAGTTTCTTTCAACCAAGTGCTCTTCGATTTTGCAACATTTCGAATAATAACAACTTCCGTGAGAAACCACCATTATCAACAAGGCTATCGCAAATAAATACATGTTTTCAGTTATTACAGAGTTAATAACATAATTAATGATACTATTCAGAGATCGCTGTTTGCACCGCAGGGTTTTGTTGTTGGTTTGATACACGCGGCGATCGGGGCATGACTAAATAATGTTCAGATTGGCGATGCCGTCCGTAGGAAGTATAGTAGTAGGGGTAGGTTTTCGGAATAATTATTTTAAAGGTATTTAAATGTATTCGGTATAAACTGACTTCTCGTCTGCGGGTCTACGCGAAGAGAACGATAACAGCATGGACTTCATGAATCGGTAATAATTGGTTATTTAAATCACTGTGTTCCACTTTTAGTGGCACCATCTTCGTAATTTAGAAAGCAAAGACAAATTTTCAAAAATGTTTTTTATCATGGAATCCCAGTAAGACCTTTCCTACTACGAGTAATATTTGCTTCTGATCTAATTCTATGACCTGAATTCAAATTACATATTTTATAACAAATTAAATTATTAAATTATATTATTAGGCACACTTGCCTAGTAGGCACTTAGTTTATTTCTATAGATGATTTAATGTTTGTAAGAGTAAATCGAATTAATCATCTTAGTTGGACAAAAAAAAGATTATGCCAGTTGGTGATATTCAATATTTTAAACACAATGCACAACAACCAAATAATGCGTAAAGAAAAAGAAATGCTACATAAAATAACAACCACTATTTTTGCGTTAATATTATTGTATACAGGGTGTTTGGTAAGTCGATGCATTCCTTGCAGGAGGTTATAGTACAAGTAATTTGTGATATTTCCTTAACGTACAATATATCGAAAACGCTTAGTCTCCGATCTATAGGGTGTTAAAGTTTTAATTAAAAAAATGCAAATTTATAAATATTGCGGAAACCGCTCAGAATATTTTAATGAAATTTTACAAGCTTTGACAATTAACAACAATACATGTTTTACAACAAAAATATTGTTTTTAGTTTCACCAGTGGCGAGCGCACAGGCACGTCGTTGGATATTTTTAATGAAAAAAATAATACACCACCGATTTTTCTTAAATTCCTTGTTCAATTTGGAAGAAAAGTGGCTTATTGATTGTTTTTCTTATGACGCATCGTTTTCGAGTAAAAAAAATAAAATCGATTTATTGCATGGCGTAATTCGGTTTCAATAATTTGAAAAATAGCAGAAATTATGCACTTAAGGGGGGCGTTTTTATGCGCAATTTTCAATGAATTTTTTGTCCAATTGTTTAAAAAATCTAAGCAAGTTAGAAACGATATCTCTTCACTGTACTACTCATACAAGTGTTCTTCAGGGTGTGAGATAACTGACAACACATTTTAAGTAAGAAAAAAAAAACATATTTTTTTATCTTACGTTTCCTGAACTTTACACGACTGTTGAACATACAGATAAAAGCGTACGGTATTATAAACATACCCACACCCAGCAGAATGCTTTTAGGATACTATTTATACATGAATTAATAAGAATTATTGAGTAGTTTTATAAATCAATTGGACAAAACAGGAAAGGTACGTGTTCTGATATTTTATATTATCCGTCATCTTTTCATGCCGAGCAATTGAAGAAATCCTTCGTATTTCAACATTTCTATAGTTTGGATACTATCGAAAAGAGGGCGATAGTCACAGTTGTCGTTCTAAGGTATTTTTTGCCGAACCAGAGCCGGACTAACTTCGATATGTT